TTTTTTTTTAAGATGGAGTCTCACTCTGTTGCCCAGTCTGGAGTGCAGCAGCACAATCTCAGCTCACTGCAACCTCCACTCCCCGGGTTCAAGTGATTCTCCTGCCTCAGCTTCCCGAGTAGCTGGGATTACAGGCACATGCCACCACGCCTGGCTAATTTTTGTATTTTTAGTAGAGATGGTGTTTCACCATGTTGGCCAGGACGGTTTGGATCTCTTGACCTCGTGATCTGCCTGCCTCGGCCTCCCAAAGTGCTGGGATTACAGGTGTGACCCACTGCACCAGACCACCTCAGCTCACTTCTGCCAGCCACACACTTCTTTCTGTCCAGGAGGCTTTGCATTTGCTCCCTTCCCTCCCAATGTGGCCTTGTTTCCTTTGGAGCAGTTTCACAGTCTAACATCGTCTCATTTTTTGTCCACCTTTTTAGCTCTGCTCTCCAACTAGACTAGGAGCTCCCTGAGGGCAGGGACTACCCTGACCTTGCTCACTGCAGCATCGCCCAGGCTTGGTGTGGAGCCTGCACACAGAGGCTCCAACCCCAGAGGCAGGAAGGAACAGCCAAGTCGGCTTCCTCCACACAGGTGGCTTCTTTTGATACCTTTCAGGTCTGTGGGACCTTGAGGCCGACAGAACCTCACACTCACCTATTCTTAGGTGACCAAACAGGGTAAATGCTTCCCTATGCAAGGAGAAAGAATTTCACTGGCAAATATGAAATACATTTATTAGATTTTTTAAAACATATAACCTCCCTTGGGTTTTTTTCCAAATTACAGAAGGAATACAGTAGCACATATTATGTACTCTGGGCCCAGCACTGTGCCAAGCACTCTACAAATATCATCTCATTCTGCTTCATAACCCCCCATCAGATGAGAACCATCCTCCCCACCTAGAGCTGGAGAAGCTGAGCCTTGGGAAGTGGAGATACTTCTGCAGCATCGCACAGGTCCCGGCAGGGCTGCATGGGATCCAGGGCTGTCTGAGCCCAGGACCCGTAACCACTGGATTAGCCTAAAGCAGCAGCTGAGAGTCACCTATAATCCTCCTATTCCTGTTAGCATTCTTGCTTCTATCCTTCTTTTTTAAGCTAAGAAAATTTAATTTCTACCCAGTCACTGTACAAGTCATTATAAATCCCCAAATCGCAGTGTTCTGATGGAAAATTCTGTTTGCTCAGATCACAGAAGGGTTTATGTTCAGGATCTGAGAGTGTCAGGCCCAGCTCCACAGGTCCTGGGGTGTGCCTCACTGAGGGCCTCGAGGCAGGAGGACCCAAGGGAAACCCTCAGGAGGGAGAGCAGGTGGAGGCCGGGTGATGCGGCTCTCCCACGGGAAGGCTGGAACCCAGCATGAGCATGCCCATCTCTGGGAGTGAGGGGTGCTGGGCTGTCCCACAGAGTCTCTCCCCTCTCCCTGCCTCCCCTTCCACCCCCTAGGTTTCTGGTGAAGAACTACCTGCAGACTCAGATGTCCCCTGGCTCCGCGCCACAGAGATCTCTCCCTCCATCTGTCGCCTATCTCGCCGCACCTGTCCTGGCCAGGTGTCCAGCCCAGAGGGCAGCCGACTTCCTCTGCCCGGAGCTCTACACCACGGCCTGGGCACACGTGGCAGCAAGGTAAGCCAGTGCTGCGAAGTCAGCCATCCCTCCTGGGGACAGGCTCCATGCCATACTAGGGCCTTTGGGATTGGTTGGTTGGACATTCATGGATTCAGTTCTAAAAACCACCCTGTGCCTAGCCTCCCCAGTCCTCTCAGTTCCTGCCACCGTGGGCAGAGAGAGGGGAAGTCCCCCCCATCAGCTATGGAACCCCATCACTTCCCCATCCTGGTCACAGTAGTAGAAGGACATCACACCTCTGGCCAGTGAGGTAACTTTTAAATCTCTAGAGTCCTATGGTGATATACAATACAATAAATGTACCCATATGTAAATACTACAAATATATTGATATGCAAATGCCAATAAAGCAATACTCATATGTTTGAAATATCCCACAATCTAAAAATAATTTTTGAAAATATGACTACAGCATGGGGTAGAATTCATTTATTTCCAGCATCTAGGAGGCTCCAGGGAACATGGACAAAACCAAGGACCCATCCATTCTGTCATTCAACAAATATTGTTCACTACCTACTATGTGTTAGGAATGACCAAATACGCCAGTGGCAGGAAATAAAAAGATATCCTGACCAAATACAGAGACCACCATGGAAAACATGGTGAGATTTAACTACCTAAAAAGAAAACCTTTTGAACCCTACCCCAAATTAAATCACCAAAAACAGGCTGGGTGTGGTGGCTTACACCCATAATTCCAGTACTTTGGGAGGTCAAGGTGGGTGGATTGCTTGAGCTCAGGAGTCTGAGACCAGCTTGGGCAACATGGTGAAACCCCACCTCTACTAAAAATACAAAAAAATTTTAATTAAAAAAAAATGAAACACCAAAAACAAACTGGAAAAACATATTTTCAGTATATAATCAGAGGCCTTATATCCCAACCTGTGGTCCCAAGGATGGTTAATAGTTATTTCAAGATCACAAGCAACTTGGAACATTCATTTATTTATTCCAAAAATATGTATTAACTGCCTATAATATGGCATGCACTGTTCTAGGCATTAGGGACCTATCAGTAAATAGGCCCGATAAACACCCTAGACCTCACTGAGCTAACATTTCAATTGGGAGATTTGAGGAGGGGGATATAAGGCTGCTCAAGGTAATTAAAGTGTCATGATAGTTCTCCTTGCTTGAAACTCAGTGTGACCTCTGCTTATCTATTCCCTGGCAAAGCAAAAAACATTGCTTAATAAACAGTTCGCTTTACACACAAATTCCAAGGGTCATGGATGGATAGGCAGGGAATAAAAAAATAAGAGGGATTAAAGGTGAATAAAATGGCAAATGACTAAGTGGTTTGCAGGACAAAGGTTGGTTTTCTGTTTTTGTTTTTAGGTTCCTTGGGTAGAACCTACAACAGGCTAGGTGACCGACAGGCCCCTCTGGCCTTTACAGAAAAACCATTCTCCTTGCTCAGGCCATAGGATGTCAGGCAACAGAAAAGTATATTGGTGTCAGGCTGGAATCTGCATTAGAAATAGGGTACAGCTCCTGGCCTATGGCTCTGAAGCTTTATAACATGGTGATTAAGTCAAGGCCGGCACGGTGGCTCACACCTGTAATCCCAGCACTTTGGGAGGCCGAGGCAGTCAGATCACGAGGTCAGGAGTTTGAGACCAGCTGGTCAACATGGTCAAACCCTATCTCTACTAAAAATACAAAAATTAGCCGGGCATGGTGGCACACACCTGTAATCCTAGCTACTCCTGAGACAGGAGAATTACTTAAGCCTGGGAGACGGAGGTTGCAGTAAGC